ACGATTCGGACCGAAAATGACAATGACGAATAATGATAGTTGTATTATACTATTATATTTCTTTTTCGTACGAAAACATCATAGTATGATAAATATTTATATATTATAATATACGTACACCTAAATATTAAATCATATTATAGTTTATATACCATCAGTTTTTTTAATAACAAGTATCTATATAATATACTATGGTTGATAGTCTATGCCTATGCGTACGGAAAAAGAAAAAATATATTACATTAATCGTGAAAAAAAAAAAACGTCACACGGGACACAAGAACACGAGCGATTATTATTGCGTTTCGGGTATAGACCACTGTACGTACGTCGTCGACGACAGTGCGCGCGGAACAAAGGAAAACAGTAAATACACACTGATAGTCGTATGTGTGCGTGCACCACCTCTGCTTCCCCACCACCCGCAGACCACAGGATAGCCGAACGCCACCGCGGTCACGGTTATTATCACACGCGCACGGAACAAAAACAATAATAAAAAACATATGATTTGACCGCCGCCGTCGCCCGACTGCCTAAGGCCAACCCGATCAAAACATTCGTTGTGCGCGCGCACCTTCCTACTCGCAACATTTAATGTATTATTATTTATTATACACATTGTAATCATTGACCATTGTATTGTGTCCTGTCGTTCTGTGTGACTTTGAGTATGTAATAGGTGTTTTAATATTATTATTTTATAGTTTGTACACGTACACCGGTACGGGCGAAACTGCGATGGTCGATGTTTAAGATATCCCGGAGTTATTATTATATTATTAATTTTGCTCATCGTCGTCTAGGGTAGGTAATATCGGTAATATGTAAAACAATAGCCCATAACTTACGCGTCGGTGCACCATTTCAGTATAAAGATTATATTATAATATAAATGGTGGTGGTGGTGAAATATGGACCATAGGGTGCTAACAATTCATTACGTAACTATATATATATGTCTATATATAAAATATATTGTATCATTGTCTATAATATTAAAAATAATATTATTTTTTTCTGCTATAAAAAAATAGTAGGTAACAATTTTATAATTCTACTCCGTCTATCTAAATCTATATACATTATATAAATTACCTATCCGCTATACGGTGTACGTATTATTTTGTACATAAAAAGTGTGCACCCAATACCCAAGTTGTTTTTATCTTTAAAAACCATTAAACATTATTATCGTGACGACGACTGACGAAGGATCGCAATTTTCATAGATTATAGATTATATTTCCAATATGATTTTTAATTTTTTTTTTAATTTCATTAAATAATCTATGAAAATTATTAATACCTAGGAGGGTATATTATCAAGGCATTAATATTTTGATTTTATGTATCAAAATCCTTATGCAATTATTTTATTTTATTACTTTAAATATTTATTTTCATAATCCGCTATATTTTGAATAATAAGTGTAAGTAATAATAAAGATTGTATGGCGAAAGTGATAGAATAAAGATACTTTTCAGTTTTCAGTAAAGATTGAAGACACCTAGACAGTAAGTCAATTGCAATTACAATTATTATAATGTTTAGGTATTCAATTTTAGGTGAGTAGATCCCGGCATCATCGCCTTTTTAATTTTTTTTTGGGGGTTACCAGGAATGTTTGCTGACGAAAGATTTTTACTAAGGGATTTTCATGGTGTTGTATATTTAAGTTATAAATCGTTTGTAAAAGGTTTTTGCTACATCTTGAACAGATTGTAATGATATTTATTATTGTTTAGATCGTTATGTAGAGACTGGTTTGAAACATAAAAGGGTACATTGATTATAGCGCGGAAAGTTGGATTGGAAATACTGTATACCTACGATTTATGCTCGAGATCTTTGCAGAATCCTATAGTTGTACACCGTGCGTTTATATTGTTTTAAAGAATAATTTGTATACTAATATTTTGGTTGGCAATTTTATATAGCTAGAAGTTTGGAGAGAGCGGAGAAAACGAAAATGATTATTTAGGGGTAGGAGTTTATAACGTAAGTGTGGCGACCAGGTAATAGACATTGGTTGATGATGATGTCTAGATAGAGTAAATATGTTATTGGTAATATTTATTCGTTAATGATGATTGGTGGGTACTTTAAAAGGCGCAAAGCAGAATCTGACGCTAAGTTATATTTTTTATTAAAAATTTTTATTTATTTTTTATTTTGACAGATTTTGTATTGAATTTTATTGAAAATTGACTAAAAAATACCTAATTTTATTGCTTTAATATTTTTGTTTTGTTTGAATTGAGATAAATAATAATTGGTTTATTTTTATTTTTTGTATTTTCCATTTATTGTGTATTTAGTTTTGTTAGTTAATAACACAGTTTAAAATCGTTTATTTTCAAAAATTATTAGCCGGCATTGTTAATCATGAGTTATAAATTATAATAAATAATAATGATCAAACAAGACAACGTTATTATAGAATGTTGTTTCCAGAGTAGTGTATAAAATTATAAATTATAAATAATTTCGTTATATTCTATGCCGTAATGGCTGTAACCCATATTCTAATATTGTTTAATCTAAATTCTACCTAACACTTAAGATATCAGAGACACAATGTTGTAGCCAAAAAGTTAGAATAATTTCATATTTTACATTTCTTACAAATTTATAACGAATAATTATTAATATTGTTAATTGTTATACATTTTTAATTTTTAATAGGTTTGTTTCGGATGTTGAAAATGACTCAATTTTAACAAACGAATGCAACCATTTTGTAACCCTTTTATCAAAGGAGATAGAATTTAAGAATACTGAAAATTACTTAGTGCTACATGTATTTATTTAAAAAGAATAATAATTTTAATGAGTTGTTCCCTAATTTATGTATAGTTTTTAGAAAATATCTTTCAGCTGCATTAACAAATTGTTTGAGTGAGAGATCATTTTCAGTTCCTTGTTAAAAGAATAAATAATTATTTAAGATCTACCTCTCTCAGCAATCGGTTAAAATGTTTAGGTTTATTAAACATTGAGAATAATATGTTGAATAATATAGATGTTATAAATTTAATCGGTAATCTTGCTGAAAAAAAGATGTTGATAGATTGATTTTTACATACATTTTAAAATTTAAACACAAATAAATGCCCCATTATATTTTATCTTATAAGTTATTTTAGGTATTCCTACTGTTATTCTCTTTAATATAATTGTTGTTATAATTTATGAATTTCAAATTGGTGTAACTTGCTTATTCCATAAGTGTTATAATTAGGTATTGTATATTTCATATACAGTGAAAACTGTCTAAAGCGGACCCTGAATAAAATGGAAAATTATCCAATACGGAATTTTTCTATGGTCCCGGCACGTTCCTATAGTTTTATATAGACGCCCAACTTCAATAAAACGGAACCTTCATAACACGGAAACGGAACAATTTTGTAAGTCCCATGCAAGTAAAAACCTTGCATAAACCGGAAAAATGATACGGGCGTATCAAATCTAAACCAAAAATAAGATATAAAATATAGATATGCCGATGTACAATGTACATCGTTAAATAGTGATAGATAAAGAAGAAAAAATTGTTCTATAGGTACATATTCGTAAAATATAATATGCACTTAAATTGTAGTATTGTACAATACAATGCATATTAATATATTATCGCATCTTAAACGATACGACATTTCTTCTTTGTAACTGTGAAACAGTCTTACACCAACAGTCGTACGTACACTTTTAATTTTATTTTATTTTCCGTTCATCGCATTAAATATTAAAATGCCAAAATATAAGTGTTTTTCATTAAATGAAAAATATAAACTGATCAAATTTAATGAATTTTAATGAACTATATTATGTATTTAAAACAATAAATTGAGAAATATTCTTTGAAATTTCTTATTCATTTGAATTGAATAATCCGGAATTTTTCCGTTTTATTAAATAAAGCGGAAAACTGCTTAAAGCGGAATTTTTTGTTAGTCCCATGCGATTCCGCTTTAGACAGTTTTCACTGAATTATTATAATACCTGTTGTGATATTTGTAAATCATATAATATACAAGTACAATGGTTTTTATAATATGGGATTATTAACGTCAAAGATTATTGGGCAGAGTACAATAAAATTTTAGGGTATAGGGCCATAGGAGCACAGGTAAAACCATTGCTTCGAGGCTCATTTTTTTTCTAAATCCAACCTGTTTAAATCGTGATAAGTGGTAGATGACTTAATATTTTAAAATTTTAAAATTTTCGGTTTGTTTTCACAAAACTTTCGTTTATAAAAACCAGTCGACTGTTGAATGAGCTAATTAGTAGAGATGTTTGGTAATCACGCCAAGCTTCTAACCAACGGGCATTGCTCGTATCTACTTCTCCCAAGTACTCGAACCCCAATACCGTTTTATGCGCTATAATACACTACAATACTGTCAATACTAAATACTAATTATTATATAATAATGTTTATTAACATCTATATAACTAATATTAAAGTACATAATCATTAATAATCTTAATCTTATTACATTGACCTGATAGTAATAATTAGTAATTTATAATTTAAAGTACCTACTCAGTATATGATTAGCCGTAATCAGCGATCGATGTATTTAACTGATTTTTGATAAATCCTTCATACTAAGTCTTAGTAGATTAATAAAATGATCTCTGACTATATACGAGAACACGTTGCGAGGCATAAAAATGTATAAATATTATAGACAATAGACATATAAATATATTTAAGTGCAATATGTCTATGATAATAATGAGAAGTTTTTGTAAGAATTCTGAAACATAGTTTTGAAAATATAATCTATTGATACGAAATATACGTTTTTGTTTAGACTAAGCTTACATAATAAAATTGCATTACCAATAAGAATAATTATAAACATTCAAATGAGTTTGATTGTGTATATATGAGTACAGACTACAGAGTAGGTATATATTAATACTATATAATATAATATGCTCTATTCCTACATATTTTAATTATGATAATATTACCTATACGGCTATACCTCTATAAATTCTTCTGAAGACAGTTATTATTGATTAAAATGAAATATATCTGGTTTACATTGAACATTACTACACTATATGCGATGTATGCAAATGCAAAAATTTGTTTGGTCGATGGAAAGGAAATGATTACTTACTTTGTGCGCAAGTCCACTGATGCATTCTATTGGTGGACGTCATAAAATATTTCGTATTTGTGTTACTTTTTAATGTTCAGACGACGTTTGATTTCTGCTATAAATTTAAATAACTATCACGATTTTAATCTGTACATGCAGTAGGTAGTAGGTACACTACACAGACACATAGTACACATATGTAAATGTGTATAATAGGCACTAGATAGTATTGTAGAATGTAGTAAGTATATATAAACGTCTTTTATTATATAATAGTATTTTTTTTTTATTATTATGAGACTAAAACGTAGTTGATTTTTTTTTAGTAAATTATAGGTATATGTATTAAAAAATTGATTTCTCTGCAAACAACCAGATGAAAAATAATCAAAGTACTTTATAAATATATCTTTGGGAAGCTCTTAAAGTCTCAATAGATATTACGTATAATAATTAATGAAGCATATAATATATATAAAATAACGGAACTTGGTAATTTGCGCAGGTTGGATGGCGGCGTTGGTAGATACTTCTATACATATATTATAATTAATCAAATATTCAGGTGAATAAAGCGGTTTAGCGAAAGAAATTCTGTTGTGGAACACTGCTATGGAACAGGTGCAGTTGGCTAGATAACCGAGTAATACTAATGATGATAGTCGCTGATGATGAATAAACGGCGATGGAGCAATAATAGGACGGGTAACTTTACTTATTATAAGTTTGAAATTTCAATGTTATCGTCATCATCAGTATAATATTATTATACGTCATATTATTCAAAACATCTGTTCTTGATCAATATGGCTCCCGTCCTACGCATCGTATATTTTTACGTCGTCATTATGTATTATTATAATATTATATTTTATAGTCGTTGTTTATTATATTTATTTTGTTTTTATTTTCAGGGTCATTAAATTAGGGAAACACGATTTTTCGGCATTGGCCATTGTTTCGGAGTCATAGGTACCACTACTACTTTATACTACCTTTACATACTTTCTAAAGTTACTACTAATGTATATAGTATATCATTTATTATTAATATTTCACATTATTAAGTAAAAAAAAAAAAGTAATAATAATACAACTATTGAACTATGATATAAATTGTGTATTTACGTATAATTATGTATACTTATTACGATAATATACCTATCAATAAAATAGTAGGTTACCTACATAATATCGCACTTACAGTTTACATAATATAACCTATATAATATTATAATATACTGTAGAGGAAGGATATTATTGAATACATAATTAATTGTATGATCAAAGGTGGAAATAGAGGGAGCCTATAAGCTCGAAAATATTAAATGAATGTCTTCTCACCAATGTTTTTTTTGTCTAGATTATTTATTGATGGTTACTATTTACATTGATATAAGTATATAACTAAATAAAAACATAGGTAGCTGAAAAATTACATAGTTCATAATATTTGACCTCTATAGTTTGAATGATTATTCATATTATAAAAAAAACAATTGTCAAAAAGTGTTGATAATGCACACATTATTGAAACATTTGTTGAAATAAAAAATAAAATATAAAACTATATTAGTTTTGGTGAATGATGATACATGACGCAATTCTTTCCCCTATTTTTATTTATAATAAACATATTAGCCCCGTGTTTTTGTCTATTTACGTATACGAATTGTACGATGCATATTTAAAAAAATTACATACACTTTATTGAAATAATTTATATCATATATATATATAGGTATATATGTCGTAGGCCATATGGATAATTGGTCTTTTTGCAATAGGATAGCCTGTTAGCGAACTATCTACTTATTATTTTTCAAAATAGCCTGCTGTTTTTCAGGCTCATTTTATACAGACTAACAGCAGTTAGGACTTTTAAGAATTAGGTACAATCATTTTATGGTAATAACCATTTGACTATTGTATTACTATAGTTTTATTTTATATTACTAATCATACGTAACATGTAAACTGAACTAGTATACTATTGTATTATAGGTACATTATTTTCTTTTTGTCTAAAATTTTGCCAATATTATATATTGAATGTCTAATGGTCCACAATTTACCTTTGGAATATTGATTAAAATATTACTGTTAACTTCAATTATTACTTATTTCTTATCGCTTTATCTTTATAATTTTTTCTGCAGTCAATATTCCAAATAGAAATCGTGGACTATTAGACACTCTAAATCTAATATTGGCAAAGTTGTAGACAAAAAGAAAATAATGTATCTATAATACAATAGTATAATAGTTTATAATATGTTACATGTTACATATAGTTAGTAATATAAAATAAAACTAGTAATACAATAATCAATAGTCAAATGGTTATTAAGGCAATGAGCCTGAAAAACGCAGCCTGTTTTGAAAAATAATAAGTAGTTCGCAAACGGGATACTCTATTGCAAAATGCCTAGTCTTTTCGCAAAAAAATTATTATTATTTAATCCATATGGCCTACGACATATATATATATATATATATATATATCAATACCTATAAATTAGTATATAAGTTAATACGATAGTTATGTAGACACATCTCATGAAATACGCATTGCAAACTTACTTATTGTTAAGCGTCTAAAGCCATTATTATAGAACTATAGAAGTATATACTATACATAAGTATTATAGTTATTTTATGACGTACATGTGTATGCACACGCCGTGTACAAACGAACAGTGCCTCTCGTTCGTTTTGCGACGCTAATAATAAAAATTCGACAATAATGATAAACGAGTATATTAATATATTACGTTTACATTACTCCGTGATTACCTAGCGTCGAGTCAGAATAGAATATGTAGAACACGAACAATAATTACTGTACACTGTGCGTCTGCGCAGACGATCTAATTTCAATAGCTAAACAATATTTTAGCAAGAGCGAATTGATCCACATTTTTAATTTTTAATTTTTATCATGATCGTCACGGAATGCGTATGGTACTATGGTCATGCATAATATTATATTTGCATTGTTTATCATGAAAATTATTTTATAATTATTATTAGTATGTTTTGCACTGTTTCATAATAATAAATGTTTTTTTTCTTTTTGAGATTAATAGGTAGGTGTAGTAGTTTATCAGTTCATTACTAATATACACACTACGGTGCAGTGATATTATACAATGTTACACATAAAAACATAAAGTAGGTGTTATTATAATATAAATATATAATCTAGGTCTGGTTGACTATCGAGATATAGCCAATCTAAGTTCAAATTTTATTTTCTAATGTTCAACATTTGTATTGGTAGATAAGTTTCAAAAATCAATTTCATCAAAATGTATAATATATTACTGACTACTGTGGTCCATAAACCATAGATAAGTAACTAAATATGATCAACTAATTAAGTACTAAATAAATAAAATTCAAAACCAAAATCGATCATAAGATTTACTTGAACTATCATACGTGTGGAAATGTCAAATGTGATAGTATTTTTGTATATTTTTATTAGCAATATTAGCTGTACTATAATTATTATTTTATATATCCTATTTATCATAATTAGACGCCTACAGTAAACTACTGAATTACAGTTAATATGCGTCTTTACTAAAATTCACTGTATACCAAATATTATCCATTAAGTGTTAGGCACTCAATATTTCAAAAACTATTAATGCTTTTGAAAATAGTTTTTATTATTTTTTTTTTTAACGTCAACATGCATTTATAATTTTTATTTTTCAAAGCAGAATAATGTTTTGATTAATTCTTCGTATAAAAATTTAGTTTTAAAACTATAGTGTTAATGCGTTATACGTTTAAATTTAGTTTCGATTAGATATGCGGGATATCCATGATCTATTATTATGAGCTATAGAGACATCCCGTAAAACGTTGGTCAACTTCTCAGCTCGTTTAAGATTTAATACTTATACCTAATAAGTAACAACTTTTAAAAATGTTAAGAAATCAAAATACTTTTAATAATATTTTGTTTCAGAATATGAAATTAAAAATATATGTTATCATTCAAAAAATATAAAAACAATAATGATAAAAATAGTGAAACATAATTTTTTTCTAAAAATGTTGTTTTGATTTAAAATTATGTTAAAAGAAATATTTTCAAAACCCTTAGTGTTTTCTGAAACAGTTTGTTATTCCCGTAATGTAGCCGTGTAAGAATAATTTAAACATATATTTTTAGAGATCATACTGTTAAAATATTATATATTATTATTTTTTTTGTAGACAACTTTTGTAATTATATACTTATTTATTTGCTAATAAAATACAAACCATATATGTAGATAAAGTAGATATAAGTACTTATAAGTTATATTATGAAAAAACACACCTATTTACATCTTGTATGACCCAAATAACAGTCAGTAATATATAATTATTGAACATTAATATTTTTATTTTTAAATTACAAACAATTATCTATTTTTAATTGGGCCTTTCTTTTTCTTAAAAAAAAAATAATAATAATAATTTAGATATTTTTCCTATTTAGGTATACAAAATATTTTTTTAATAAGTAACAATAAAAAAAATTATAATTACAATTTATAATATCAATAATAAAGAGAAGTAAATATTTTAACTGAAAAATATCCTTATTTTTCTTGATGTGCTTGCTTGAACGGCAACTGACTATAATTATTTTAAAAGTGTAGAGTTCACTTTTTCTGCACAGTTAATTTGAATTCAGTCAATTCAATAAATTACTGCAGATATATCTTTACAAAAAAACAATTCTGAGCGAAGAAGACGGACAATCTTAACTTAAATTACATTTTAAAATTAAATTATGTACGTGCAGCTATTCGATATTTTTAAATTTCTGTAAGAATAACTTCGGAGGGTCTACATTGCTTGAAGGTTGTTCAAATTTTAGGTATATAGTCATAATTAATAAAAAATCGGAAATGTTATGAAGATTGAAAGTTGAAATAGAAAATAGTTTATAAATTTGCATTGTTTTAAGTAGGTGTTTATTAATAAAAAAAACTGCGTAACATTATCATCTACAATGAAATTTTAATATTTTTGTTGTTCTTGCAAAACGAGACATTTTTTAATTGCATTTTAAATAGTTATAATAGTACCTTATTCCCACCTTCGTATGAATCATAAACTATGTAAATAAATAATAAGCGTATTTATAGATTAAATACTCAGTACTCATAATTTATTATTAAAATTTAGTTATTTTTGATTTATAATATTTTCCATATAAACATGAAATTTATTTTTTGTTTGCAATAGCTAACCTTTGAATTACTGGACTGATTTTAATAAAAACAATATTAATAGATTTGTTGGGATTCGGGGGGTGGAATATACTTCTTTTTATCCTGAAATTCGACCACTATAGAATGGCTTACAGTGTTAATGTGCTTAATGTGTAAGCCTTACACATCATGAATTTTTAAACAAGAAAATACATTATTTTTTTTTTTCTGATTTCCATTGGTTACAAAGAAAAAAATAAATAGTGTTATTATTTAATTGAATTTTCATTAGCAAGAAAGTTCTCTAACATCTTATTCGATCAATATGTAGTGTTTTAGATTATAAGTACTACAATTTACAGAGCCACAGAGGCACAGAGCAAGTTATAAGCATAGTTTATTGTAGATCCAATTCTTGTCATCGAAATATTGAACTATGAAAATAGAAGATATAAATACATACCATGTTTGGAGTATCCTGGCTCTATCTGTTATGTTTTTACATCAACTATTTAAAACAATGTTCTACATTTACAAAATCACTTAATTGAGACACCGTGATAAAAATCAATAGAGCTTTTCAATAGACCAAATATTATGAACGAGATCAAACGGAGTAAGTTGGAATGGGCAAGACACGCAGTTAGGAAGCAAGATTCAATGGTTCAAAGGGTACTCCTAGAAAACCCAAAGAGAAAAAGACCACTGGGTAGACCAAGGCTACGCTGGGAAGATGGAATAAAAAAAGATTTCCTAAGTGCTGGCGGAGCGGAAT